CTATGTTTCTTTTCAACATGCGACTTTAAATTCACCAGCCTCAATGTTGCAGAATCATTTGCGCTCCATTATCTTTAAATTGACTTTGTTTCATAATCAATATTGGTTGGTGGATTTGTTTTTCATAAGTCTTTGGCATTAAAGTAGTTTATGAACATATAAATATTCTGAAAACATGAACATGCTAAGTGGTTTACAATGAATAGTTTGTTTGGACTTTAATTCTTACGTAGAGAGGTATGTCTTTTGGTAATCACTATTTTTGTGGTTTTTTGTTGTCTTTTTTTTTCCAGGTTTTATCTCTTTTCGTTATCCATGTACTTTACCAATCCACAAGATCAAAATTTTGACTCTTGAAACCATTATTTTGTGATAAGTGGGTCCGGGTATAGCGAGGCTCTACTATAAAATTCACATGGATATAAATGGATTAAAGAAGTTTAACAACATAACTAAAAAGCACCATGGTAGAGTTTTTCTATTTACAGTTTAAGTAAATACAAAGAGATTGAGTTCATGTCACTACGTCTCTCTTCGATTTAACGTATTCGTAATTGCCTTAATTTGCCTTAATTATATTAAGGGTTCGAGGCTTCTCCTTTTAAAAAAGGTGTTACACGCCACCAAGTGGTCATATCGGTTACCTCGGTAAACTATCACTAAAAATCATATCGATTTAAAACTTTTTCTGCAACATTACATACGAACCAAATTATTTTTTAATGTGTGAGGGTTAAGGCTCTTTTAGGGTTAAATGCTCCCCCTCTTAGGGTTTAGTTCCTTACAATTTGCTAAAAAATTATTTGTTTAAAATGTTTTGAATAAATTTATGATAAGTGTCTATAATTTTAATTAATTGTATAAAATCTTTTAATTTGTTAAAAATATAAGTGGTTTATCTATAGATTCAAAATAATATAAGTCATTAGTATAAAACAAGTACGATGATAACTTATCTTATTGTCGTAATAGTCATACCATGATTGTAGTAGTAATTTTCACTAAAAACTAAATGGAACTAAAACTTTATTTCTCTCTCTAACGCTACATACGAACCAAATTTTTCTACAGCCAAACTGTATCAAACCTTAGTTTTACTCAGTGTGTGAAGGTTAAGGCTTCCGTAGGATTAAGGCTCTCCCTCCTAAGGTTTAGCTCCCGCGTTATACGCGGGGATAATAATTTAATTGTTTTTGATATTGTTCATACTGTTATTACTGCGTAAGATGACACAAGTCATTTTCGATATTTACGGTAAGTTTTTTTGTGCATCTTGATTAGCCAAGTATGTTTTTTTTTCCTTATTGTTTTGGCTTTGAGATTCATCTTAGTTATACGTTATTTTTTGTTTGGTTTTTATGTTCGTCTTATTATTCATGTATGTATTTTGCATTGTTTCAGTTTTACGTTATTATTGGATCTACTATTGTTGTTTTTGTTCGCCGATTCATCGTCGGCTTTGAAGTACGCATTTTGTTTTAGTTCGATAAGTCGAACCAATAATTCTTATTCATAATGTCTATTATATTTTTAGGCTTTTTAGTAGTAAAGTCATGTTAGTTCAGATTATGTTTATATCTCATTTAACTTTGTTAAAAGCCATGTTAGTTCAGATTATGTTTATATCTCATTTAACTTTGTTTATGTTTATATCTCATTTAACTTTGTTTCATTTTTTTTTTTAAATGTTTAACAGGTTTAATTGCTATTATTCGCTCTCAAGGAATGGAGTTAGGGAATTCGTTTAATATTATTTCGCTTTCCAATTCTCAATTATCTCCTTTGATGATTCCTACCTTTTACTTTCTTATACATATTGGCGTGAAAAAGAAGAGAATAATCTCTATATACTTCTCTGGTTTTGGTAAAAGAGTTTTGTGTTTTGTTTGTTATATAATTCATAAACCTGAAACTTCAAGAGCATAAACATGCTCAAGATGATTTTCTCAATTCTGAAGTTGGTACAAATGACTATGAAATGGTAACTTTATAACCGGATTTTATTTTAAACTACAAAATTTACATGGTGTCCATAGAGTTAATGAACAAAATTTTTAAGAAGAATATCATTAGTAAACACCAAATAAGTTTTATTCGGCAACATTACATGCGAACCAAACTTTTCCATAACCAAACTATAGTTTGATTCGGTTAGTTTCAGTAGAATTTTCCAACCGACAAATCGAATAAAACAAACTATAATTAACAAAATATAACTAAATAAAATGATTTTTAAGGTCTTTTCGATATCATACTCCTAAGCAAAGCGCATGTACTACACTAGAACAAACCCAACGATGAACATTTAAAGTAATACCAAATTTCGAGATTATGTCAATATTTTCCAATGAACAATTTAGTATAGACAAATATTTAATTTCTTTATTTTATAATATATAGAATAATATTTATGTCAATAAATAAACGTAAAGAATAATATCGTATGTCAATATTTGAATTCTTTCTTTCATAATCTTCATTTTAGTTTATTTAACACAATGATATAAGATGTCCTAACCAAAGATTAATTATGTTATACTCATCTTTTGAAATATTCGCAATATTTGATGTCAATACTCATCTTTTGCATATGTTTATTGTAATTTGTTCAATAGATGTCTTTTTTTTTTCCAGGCTTGAGTGAGCTTCTCATACTACGAGATCAAGTCTTGGTTTTAACCAACGTGATTCTTTAAATAAGTGAATTTAAATGATATGATATCATCCATGCTTATATATATCCCTTCTTACCTTTGTAAAATTAATCATCGATTGTTCTCTTTCTCTTTCACATGTAGAGAAATCAATCCTTCTTATTAAATTTGCTTCATATGTATGTTTCTCCTTATTATATTTATTTTCTTTGTGCAATTCACATTGATTAATTTTTTTCTATCATATGACTTTGATCATCGTGTTCATGAGAAGTTTTGGTCCTTTTTTCTGTTCGATAATTTGGTCTAACTTTGGTTTTTTTATGTTTTATAGATTTCATACTTTAATTAACTATACCTTAAGAAAATATGATTTTTTTATTCGATTTGGTTTCAAAGTTGATGATTGCAATTCTCGGCGTGGTGCGATGTTTGATGATAAGCACACTTTGCTAATGATAGATTCTTGGTGAAATCCCACTCTGACCCTTTGATTATCATCACGTACCATGAACCGCAAGCTTGGTACAAAAAACAGTATTAGGCGCTACTTTTTCTTTACATCACCCAACACCACAACAAAAAAACATTTTCTCAGAAAAAGATAGTAAATTTCTAGCTCTTCACATTAATATATTAATTTTATTTTTCGATTTTTTTATTATAAATTTGGCATGATGGTTCCTGATAATTTGCTTTTATTCGTTTGACTAATGTCTATACAAGTTACATTATGTTACATGTATAATATTTTCCTTCTTCTTTAGTTCGATGTGTCTTTATAAATGGTTATGATTTGAAATTGTATTGGATTTCAGATTTGTTGTTTTCAACTTCCTTTTGTATAATACTGACTAACATGTTCGAACTATTCGTGGAGTGGTATATCATGTGTTTATAGATGCATGTTCTGCGTTGTGTTTGCTCGATGATGATGAGTATGTCCATGCAATCATTGAAACTGTTAGATGGTCTTCTAAAAGTGTGACTGATGATTTCATATCTATGCTTTCAAATACTCTTGGTGATGGTGAATGTAAGAGGATTATTGTTGCTGCCCGTCGTATCTTGACATGTTGTGGTTTTAAATATGATTATTTCCTTGACATGTAGTTGCTTTAATGTTATCTTGGTTTGTTATAATAATTTTGGATTCTCTTCCTTTAATAATATTGGTTTTCTATCTTTTGTTTAATAATTTTTAAAGAGTTATGTTTTGTTTATAATATTTTAAATATACTGAGTATTTTCTACTAATTTTGTATATCTCATATATTATATATACCTCACCAAATTGTTTTTCAATATAACTATCCCGCGCAGGGCGCGTATACCACACTAATACACACTTAT